GTTGATTAAAAATTACAAAAGAACGTTCTGTTATATTTTTAACTTCTAATTAATTAACATTATTTGACCAATATCATTAATAGTAACTAGGTGCCTTGCAGAGCACCACAAACTTGATGCATTTTTCAAAATAAGTCATATGGATGTAGTTTGATTCCAGTATTCATATTAAAATAGTTCTTGAAATTGATTTTGTTCACAAGAACTGATTGATTTTGGTGTTGTTTACAAAGTGACTGAAAATTGTGACTTTTACAACGTCCATATACTCATTCATAACGACGCAACGCTGACAGCAATAATAATTGCATGGCGCCACTCTAATTAAAGCTACGCAGAACAACCAAATTTTTCTTCAGAACCATATTAATAATAATTGTATTCGATTAAAACCTTTTATTTTTCTTCTCATTCGAGCTTTTGCTAATGAATTGCTTGAATGTGGATCGAGAAAGTGACAAAGATTGACATTATTAAGAGGTCCCATGTTGTCTTGTGCTAAGACAAGCAGGGAGCAGTTTGCCCTTACTGTCTTTTTTATCATGCGTCATTATAACTGATTGTGACAGAAATGATTTGAACCAACTTGGCAAAAAAATTTTGTCTATATATTTTTTAAAACCTTATTATAGAAGTTATATACTTTAAAATAAAATATATAATGCTTTTAAAAACAAAACATAACTTCAATTTATTATTTAAAACATATATACAACACTAATGCCGATTAAGTCTTTTCTCATCAAGGAGTCACGGTCGGTTGCATGATATTTTGTCATAAATAATATTTACAGATAGACAAAATATTAACTTCTAATTTTTAAATAATTTGATGTGATTTTTTTTTCCTTCTTTTCCCCTCTGTGATTGCACTGTATTCCATCAGATCTATACCACGAGTCTTCCCATATATGTTCAGACTGCTTATGACAGTAGACAAAAGAAAAGACTACTCATGACAAATTTCTATCCTTTTTTATGATAAATATTATTTTTATTTTTATTTTTGATATGTTCATACTAAGAGTTTTTTTGCCTTTTTAGGGTTAATTTTAAAACAAAATATTAAAATAGGACTTCATGTAAATATATTCCTGGTCTGGGGTGGACGAGTGATGGCAAGAGAGTCGTTCATAACAGGAATGACACATATGATAACGTGACGAACTGTGAGAGTGTCGTCCCACCAGTAGCCGATACTCATGACAGTGTTGTCCCATTATTAGACGACACTCATGAGATGTTGACACGTGTCGCTTAATGAAGTTGTGTCGTCTATTTTTGGACGATTTTAGTAGCGTCTATTACAAAGACGACTCCAGTACCGGCCTACGATACCCGATTTTAATATGACCAGTGGATAAAAATTTTGATACATTCTTTTATCCAACTTCAAATGTATATAAATATGAAACTTTCACATTTTAACCGTGAAGCTGAAGAACAAATAGGCTGTTGAAGAAGACATTGTAACTAGATAGGCTGGAGAAGAAATTGCAAGAAGAGCAATAATAAGGTTAGATTTTTTTAAGCATTATAAATATATAATTTTGTTTATTGGCTATTAAGAATTTATATTTCGAATAATAATATTTATTTTATATTTGGATAATATTTTAAGTGTTAATGTTGTAATATAAATTTTTTAAGTATTAAAAAAAATTAAATATTTGTAATTACAAATAAATTTTTAAATATAATTTTATTATATTATAAATTTGGCTTATTTGTAATGCAGGATGAATGAAATTGTTGTTATATTATATTCAAATAGTAGAATATATGAAGGAAATGAGTGTATAATTTTTGAAGGAGAGAAAAAGATGATTAAGATAGAACGTGGTATCATTGAGCGACACGTGTCAACATTTCATGAGTGTTGTCTAATAATGGGACGACACTGTCATGAGTATCAGCTACTGGTGGGACGACACTCTCACAGTTCGCCACGTCATCATATGTGTCGTCTCTGATCTGAACGATTCTCTTGTCACGTCACCTCCCAACCCCAAACTGAGAATATGTTTACATGAAATCCTGTTTTAGTAATTTTTTTTAAATTTAACTTTAAAAGGGCAAAAAAGCCTATCTTGCTTATCTATTAATCTACTACAAATTTTTCATCCGGATCCTAGTACATTAAATTTATTCTTTTGTTGATCTTTGACAACATTCAATTTCATGTAACATTGCAAATTTTATAATTGTGTTAATTTTTTTCTTTAAATTTAAGTATATTTGTTTAAAGTACTCAATAATTTTATCTATTTAGCTTGAATTTTATGATTTACATCTCTCTCTGCTTCATTCTATGCATGATTGACCTTGTATACTTAAATCAAGTGACCTATAATAAAGTATGTTGTAGTATTTCTATACTAAATTTATTACAATCTATCACTAAAGTTATATTCCATGCATTCTAGTTGTAATTATATTTTGTTTTCAACTAAGTTGTAATATTGCTAAAGATCTTTTTGTTTGTATGCACTCTTATTTTACTTCAGAGCTTTTCACGTTTTCTGTCTTTAATATACCCAAAATGTCATTTTCAAACTAACAAAGATGTTACGTATCTTGTTGACTCTTCTTGTAGCTCTCCATTCAACGTTGCGACAAGTGTAATACTTGCATGATTGATCGATCTCCTAGGCATAAAACTAAAACAATTTTACGTAATATAATTTTCTTTTCTCAACTTTCATTCAATCACCATTTTCAATAATCTTGTGATATGGCTCGAGTATTTTTCTTTCTATCATTTGTGCAATTTTATATAATTCTCTTACTTCTATAAAAAGAAAAAATATGTAGTATTCTTTAACTTTTCAGGTTCTTTTTTACCATGTAATCTTATGTAACATTCTTTGTGAATCAATTATTCCCTTCCTCACTCAGACCCTTGTTTATGTAAATGATGTAATGGTTGTTTTACCCAATACAATAATTTTACCACTACTCTTTCCAATTTTTCTTTAACTTTAATCTTAAATAATCTTACAAAATATATAATTTTTATTTTATTTTTACTCTATCTTGTGTCATAAAATGTTTGTTAAATAACCCCAAAATTTGACAGAATGGAGACCTAATAATAATAATAATAATAATGGGCTAGTATTTACTACCAATATATGGTGTTGATGTCCTATGCAATTAATCCAATTAAAGAAAGAATTGGATTGAAATATAGAAGTCACTGAACTTCTCATGTTCTTGGATCAGAATCCCCAGTAAACCATGCCTGCAGGTTCCAGACCAGTATGGGGGAAGTGCAAGTTCTAGATGGTGTTGGGGACCACAAAGGTGGAAAGATGATGTGGTTTGGTCCCCAATTATACGGTGGTTGTGGGAACAAACTTATGGAATCAAATCTTCTGCTACTTTTTGTGTTTTTCTTTAATTCAGTTTTGTATTTGAAAAATAGGTTTAACAAATTTTATATATTTTATAAAAAATATCAAATGTTGCAAATTACTTTTGTAATATCAGCTGAGTTGATTAGTTAATGTAAAATTGTGTTTTGACAAGTTTTTCGGTTAACTTATAACTTATTTAAAATTTTTATAAATTAATTTTTTAGTAAACGAGCTAATTGTTGAAAATTATAAAACTGGGAAATGCTTAACAAACCGAATGAGCAATATAATAAAAGTGACAATGAGTAATGCCAACTATAAATTTTTTTGTAACATACAGTGGTTAAAGTTATTAAAAATTATAAAATCTATGTAAGTTTCACTCTTTTTTATTTTTAAATTAATGTTTTTTCTTATATTTTTATAGTTTTTAATGTATTTTTATTTATTTTATTCTTATTTTTATTTATCTAGATAATATATTTTTTATTTTTTTCTTCTCAATTTTATCTTTCACGTTTTTATTTTGTATCAGATAAACAACAGTTAAATATCATGTTTTTATTTTTAATATAATAATCTTTGATTTAAGAGTATGATTACAAATGAGTCCTTAGAAAACTGACAACCATACATCAAAAATGTACGGAAAGAAAGTTGGATTTTTGGCAAATATATAAAATTAAAAATAATTAATATAAGATACGTTTTATTTAGGTAAAAACTTGAAATATTTTTTTTAATATATAAGTTGTATGAGGATGGTACAATTTGAATTTTCACATAAATCACGCATGTCTTGGAAGACCTTACGTACAAATTAATTTTCACTTGGATAGTACGTATAATAAGTGATAAGTCACTTAAGGATAAAAGAAATTTATTATAAATTATATATATATATATATATATATATATATATTAAGATTTATTTACATTCAGTGTAAATCTTTTTAAAATATTAAATTTTAACCACACAAATTAATAATTTAATAATTTAAAAGTTAACTATTATTTGATCAAAATAATAAAATATAAACACGTATAAAGAAATAAATTTTTAACTTTTAGATTATTAATTTGGTATAAATTTTTTAGACTTATACTTAGTATCAATGAATTATATATATATCAACGATCATTTTTAAGAGATAAGTATCTTAAAATTAAGTATTAAATTAATAAAAAAATATATATAACATATAATTAATTATAATAAAATAAATATGTAAACTTATTTAAAAAAATTGAACGTAAATAATAAATTCTACAATTTCTAACCAAAAAAGATATATTTTTATCTGAAAATAAAAATATATTATTTTTAAAAATTTGATTAAGATTATTGCAAATAATAAATTAAATATGATGAATTTTATAGATATAAATATAGGTATTTATAAAAAATTATTAAAATTTATATAAAGTAATAAGTAAAATTTAAAGTTAAATAATAACTTTTATCTTCAAAATTCATAATGAAATAAATAAATAAATAATAAAATAATTTCAATGACAAATAGTGTAATTCATACATATTTTGAATCTATTTTAATATATCTTAAGGAAGCTCAAATGCTAACTTTGAGCTTACAAGAACTTGACGTACCTTCACATAAGAAAACACGAGCACACACTAATCTAATAATCTCCTACATTAACGTTCAAGATTTGAGTATCCAACAAATCCTCGTCAAGAAGAAAATCACTCCAATTATTATTACCTTCGGTAAGAAAATCACAAGCTGTTGTTATTGAAGCAAGCTCTTCATCCCAAAGATCTGTCATATCTACACTGCCACCTTTGTCTTCTAGCAAAGTTTCCCACCAATTTCCGGATCCTGATGAAGCTGCACATGCTTCACTAACACCAACTTTGGAACCACTTTCATTGGAGGCAATAAATCTCCCTTGCAAAGAAGGAGAGTCATTTTTAGAGAAAGTTCGAGGTACAGGCTTTATCACTTCATGGGGTGTCACTGTTAATATGGCTTCTTGCTGCTTTATGTTATTGTCTTTCTTCTGAGACTCTATTTTCCGGCGCATGTAAGTGTTCCAATAGTTTTTCACATCGTTTGGAGTTCTTCCTGGAAGTCTTCCAGCAATCAACGACCATCTACATCCACAGACCTTTAAAATAGTTTACAAAGAATTTATACAAATAGTTTGACTCTTCTTTTTAAAGTATTTTAATAAGTTAGTTAATCAGTATAGCTTATCATTAAGTGTTCAATTAAAGTGTGCTTTCAAAAGCATTGTATACATTTTGAGCCTGTTATTATGTGGATTAAGATATCAAGTGTATGGTATATCTAATTTATTCATTGCTACACTCGAAAGTGTGTAGCACAACCGCGTCCTGGTTGGTAGATGTTTTTATCATTGTGGCTTAAATATGATACACAGACACACAAACCTGTTTCCCAAAAGCTTATGCAATTTGATCATCAAATCAATCTCGTCTTCACTAAAATCTCCCCGCTTGATATTTGGTTTGAGATAGTTCAACCATCTCAGTCTACAACTCTTGCGGCATCTATTCAACCCTACATACCAAACACAACAACGTATGAAAATGTTTGTGATTACATCAATTAGATATGATTTTATAGTGCAAAATAAGGATATAAAAAACACACCTGCTCTTTGAGGAACAAGGTGCCACTTTCCCTCCCCATAAAGCTGAATGCAAGCTTTAAGAAGGTCATCTTCCATTTTGCTCCATGCGCCTTTTCTCACACCTGATGCTCCTTCCATGAGAGAAACTTAACTCAGTTTCCCTACAATTCCTTCAGTTCCATCTCTTTTTCTTCAACTCTTTATGGCAACGTTAGTATTTATAGAGAGCGCACACGTATACCAACTAACGATTAACGAGATAACGGATAACGGGTATCACTCATTAGAACCACAAGTCAACACTATAGCTATGAGTTATATATTATTTTTAAATGATTTAGTTCTGCAAAATGAGAAAATTTATAAAATGAAAAAGTAAGAATTTATCTATAATTAAATTAAAATTAGTTATATTTATAAAATATTTAAATTTAAATTAAGAATAGATAAATATTCCCTTTTTACTTTACACATTTTATTTTAGAAAAGCTAAAGTCAATTTTTATTGCAGCTATTATAATTTTTTATTTCTCTTAATTATATTGGCTATTTTATCTCTATTATCTCTTGTTATCTCTATTCATGGAAATAGTTACCATCTCTTATAATTAATTTTCTAATTATATCAGTTATTTTATCTGGTGTGTCTCTTCTTATCTCTAATTATAGAAATAGTTGAGAGAATATTGTGTTTTCTTATTATATCTTGGTAGAAACACAACTTTTTTAGCGCTCTTTCCTTTCTTTGTTTTTTCTTTTCAACTGATTTGACATTTTATTATTCTTGTAAGACTCTAAATTAATGTTTATTTTTATATTATAAAATTATGTTTTTATTATTGAATAATAATATTAAGATATATATATATATATATATATTCTCTTTCACCTAAAGTCATATAATTTTTTCATTGAATATGTAAATTTTTTTTATATTTATTTTAAGCATTATTACTTATATTTATCAGTTTAAATTTATTTAAATTTTAAATCTTATTATAATATATCAAATCGAAAGTATATAACTTTAGATAAAAAATATTAAATACATTTTTCTCATTAGTAGTTAGTATTTTAATTTTGATATGTTATACCATAGAAATATTTTTTTATCTTATTTTAGAATTAGCTTTGTTTATTCAAATATGCGTAAATTTAAAAAGTTTTGAAATACTTAAAAATTCAAATATTAAATATTTAAAGTAGAAAAATCCTAAATATTTCAGGATTAGTTAGTTTAGGATTTGGTTAGTTGTTATATGTTTAGACTTTATTAAGTTTGGTTGGATTTTTTTTTATTTATATATGGCTCAAGCTAACATAAATTGGTAAGTAAGTAATGTACGAGTGAGTAAGTCTTTTTAAACTATTATATATATTTTAAAAAATAAAATTTTGACATGTAATTTAATAATATCAATTTTCATGAAAATTTACTTTCGTAACTATTATAATTATATTTAAAAAAAATTTAAAAAAACACTTTCAAAAATCTTGTTTTAAATATTTATTATTTGAAAATTCTTAACCTATAATATTTATTAAATATTAAATTATAAATATTATAACTTTTAAAATAGGTCATTTTACTAATTTATTTGAGTCATATAATATACTAATTCACTTTAATTTTTACCTACTTTTATTGATAATTTTTAATATTAAATAATATTCTTTTATTTATTTTATTTTTATTTTGCTAACTTTAATGTTTAAGATTAAATTTAAATATTTAAAAGTGATATTTTTATTAAAAAATAAAATTATTGTATTAAAATTATAAAAAAGATAAATATATTTTTTATTAAATATATTTTTTATTATTATTATACACAATTTTAAATATAAAAGTTAATAATTTTTCTTGATTTTTTCACTCTTTTCAATCACAATTTTTTTAAAGGATTTTTGTTTAAAGAACTGACATGTCACTGAAAACTATATTAGTAAACCTAGAAGCGGGTGTGACACAAATTTTAAAAAAATATTTCAAAAATTGATCACAACCCTAAGTTTTAGAGAGTTTCCAAATACCAATTAGGAATGACAATGAGTAGGGTATGGGTAGGGTACTATAATACCCATCCCCATACCCGCGTTTTAAAAAATATCCGTACCTCAGTTCCATACCCGCGTGGGTGTGAACATTAATTTCTGTACTTGTACCCACTGGGTACCCACATACCCATCTTGTACCCATTACTCACGTTTGTTTGAGAAAAAAATATTTATAAAGAAAAATATGTTTATATAATTTCACATAAGTAGCATAATAATACAAAAATTCAATATGTAGTTGTCAAATAAGGTACAAATATAGATAAAAAAATAAATATTCAAATATCACAAGTGTTAAATGTATCTTAATATAATAATTTTCTAAACTAAAATTCTTAGAAACAATAAGTAAAATTAAACACACAAGTTATTTGTTGGTGATAACTCTATCTTGTGTGAGATTCGATCAATCGACAATGTCAGAGCGACAATGAAATAGATTTGTAAAGTGGGTGGCCCTTCGTGTGAGATCACTTGGTGACCTCTTGTGGCGGCATTGACAACTAACTCTAATGAATAACCTTTCATACTTGTTAGGTTTTAATGAGTCAGACATTGAGAATGAGAATAGAGTTAAGATAAAGAAGTTAAGTACTAACAACGAAAATTGGATACATAAAATATTTTTTTTAACTTTTGAATTTGAAATTGTAAGAAAAATAATAGATTTAATTAAAATAATATAATATAATTAATATATATATTAATACTAATACTTTTAACTCATATACTATACGAAAATATTTTGTCAAAAATATAAATTTTAAAAAAATTATTTTAATAAATTAAATATTTAATATATATATATATATATAAATTTTAAAAGAAAGAATTTGAATAAAACATAAATAGTCACAATAAAATTTTATAATAAAGAAATATATGTGTATATAAAAAAATTATATTTTTATCTGAAGTGAAAATTAATAAATAAAAATTAACAATAATTTTTTATATTTTATATCTTTTTAAAAAATTATTTGAACGTAAATAAATTGTAAAAATAATATTATTTATATTCAATAGATTATAGTTGTATTTGTAATATATATGTTACATAGAAAAATATTATTTTAAATTAAAATATAAAAAATAAAATTTAAAGATATTAATAAATAATAAGTTTATGATAATAGTAAATGATTGTAAAATTTATAAATTATTTACAATATGTTTATTATTTATCATTCACTTTATGATTTAAATATCAATATGATTTTATTAACAAAAATATTTGTGTGAAAAATATTTTATGTGTGTCATATATAAATAATATTTTTAAAAAAAGTCAATCTTATATCAACTATGTAATAATTAAATTGTATTAGCCTAATTAAATGATATAAAATAGTAAATAAAAATAAATTTTTGGTGTACTTTGTTATTAAATATATTTTTATATTAATCTTATATAACTTCATATAAGTAATATAATAATATAAAAATTTAATACATAATTATAGAATAAAATTCAAGAATATATATATATATATATATATATATATATATATATATGCAGGTATGGGGCGGAGTAGTTACTTAAATACCTATACTTGCACCCATACCCGTACCTATATAGCGGGTAAATACCCTATCCATTGTGAATAAATTTTGCAACCATTGTCATCCCTAATACCAATATATGAATAGTATATTTAAAACCTATTTAAACGTGCTTTAAAATTATATTAATGTAAAGACTATGATTAAGAACATTAAAATCAATACAAGTTTGTAGCTTATTATACATATTAAAAATTTCAGGGATGCCAAAGCAATTGCACATCGTTCTCCAGCCTAGGCCCATACTGGATCCATGCCTTTCCAATAAAAAAAATGATTATCATAAAAATTGAAATTGACTAATTATAAATTAAGTATTATAAGTTTTTATAATCATAGAATGAGAGGGTGGACCTTGCATAGAATCCAAACCCATCCCATGCACATGCTGCTACACCCTTTTCATGTGTCAGCCTTGCTTATACTCTCCCCACCACACACTTGCTACGTACTTACACATTTACAAATTCTATAAATTGCATCCAAATTTCAAAAATAATACTATTTTAAATCATAGATATCTTTTATCAAAAACAATCATCTTCGAATTAAATAAAATTATTATAAAAATATATTTAAAATTTAAATATATCAAAACAATTTTCTTTGTATTCTATCTAAATTTCATATTATAATATCATTGTTTTCAATGTATATACGGTAAACCTATTTGCTAGCTTAATTCAAAGTATGAGAAACAAACTTTGAAGCTATTGGTGATATGTTTTATAATCCAAATTTTTAAAGTTTCAAATAATTACGACGCGCAAAAAATCAGGGAATTTAATTTTAATATGGTGTTTTTATGATATATTTACCGGACTATGGACTTTTCTGTATAATTACGAATGTGTAGTATTTGAAAAATCGCTAGAAACGATTTTTGCAATGTCTGGAAATCATCAATTTTGACTTTTCAATCTTTAATTTTGACTTATTTGTCAGGCAAAAATATAAACAAGCACACGTATTTAATTGGGTACAGATACTATGCAAAGTCAGTAAAATCGCAAGTGGCGACTTTTACTAGCACAATAATACATTATCCTGCAACTGAAAAATCGTGATTGGCGATTTTTACTAGCACAGTAACGTATTGAAATGTCGCGAATTGAATTGGAACTATGCTTATAAATAAGAATTGCACCATGCTGTATGCACAAATGAGGAAGGGAAATACGAAAATCGCCAAGGAGGAAGGATCTTACAGAAGAACAATATCAAAGAAGGAAATAAAATGGTTCAAGACGTGACTATAGAATCGCACAAACATATTTCACAACGTATTCGTACTCAAAATGTAAGTAAATACTTATTTTTTAATACATGCAATGTAGTATAATAAAAAAATTTCTTAATTTTATTTGAGTTATTTATTTTTTAATTAATGCAATTTATTTTTAAGTTTGTATAAAATAAAGATAATTATTTTAGTCTAAGTAAAAACATAATCAAATTTATAAAATTTTAGTATTGGATAATTTTATTATATTATTTACTTTTAATAAAAATTATTATCATTGAAAAATATATAATAAATTATTCGTACTAAGTGTTAATATTAGCCATTGTATAATATTAAAATAATAATAATAATGATAATAATAGATGTAAAAATAAGTAAAGCACAATTTATATTAAAATAATAATAATATTATGTGTGGGTATAATTAAGTAGAAACATATCATTTTTTTATAGTTAGTTTTTTTATATTTTGATATATATTTAATTCATAGATTACTGATAAATTACTATTTTTAAATTTCAGGTAATGGGAGTATTACGACCACGTCACTTATCTATAATGCCACCTAAGCCTGAAATAAATGAGATTTTACGAAATGTTAGTTTTGATCGTATTGCACAATTATGTCAAATGCATATAAACGGTGGCCTTATAAATGCACTTGTTGAACGTTAGAGACCAGAAACACATACATTCCATCTTCCTTGTGGAGAATGCACAATAACATTAGAAGATGTTGCTATGTTGCTTGGACTGCAATGCAATGGTATAATAGTTACTGGTTCTACTAATCCAAATACTTTGGCATTGCAGAGTATGTGTGAACAGTTACTCGAAAGTCGGCCCGAATCAAATGATGTTGAAGGTTCTGAAATAAGATTAAAGTGGATCAAACAACACCTTGGTTGGCTTCCTGCTAATTCAGACATTAGGATAGCTCAACTTGCTCGAGGATATGTACTTTCTTTGTTGGGACATGTTTTAATGCCAAACAAGAGCAACTCCCTGGTACATGGAAAATTCTTACAATTGTTGGTAAATGTCCATGAAATTGGAATGTATAGTTGGGGTTCAGCATGCCTTGCTTTTCTGTATAGAGGTTTGGATCGTGGTTCACGACATGATGCCAAAGAAATTTGTGGATGCATAATATTATTGCAGGTATGGGCATGGCACAGGCTTCCGTGGTTGGCTCCAATACTTGGTGAACCAGTAGTATTTCCACTTATACTCAGATGGAGATGTCTTCGATATACAACCAAGACTCAATATAGGGATCTTGGAAATGTTAGACTAGCATTAGATAAAATGGCACTACATGAGGTACTTGTTAATATATTTACACATTTCTTAACTATTTTTATACATGTTTAAAATTATTTATAAATAATTATTTTTGAAAAATGCAGTTCATGTGGCGACCATATGAGGATGAAGCGATTGATGCCGTTGTTCCACATGATTTGAGAGGAGAACGTTTATTGTGGTCAACTGTAAGCCCATTGATATGCTTTGAGGTTGTAGAGTGGCATGCAACTGACCATGTGATACGACAATATGGATTTGCTCAACCTATTCCTCTGCCACCCCAAAGTCTTCACGGAGTCCACAACAAAGATTTACTGGATTAAGAGAACTAAAGGACAGAAGGTTAATACATGATGATTGGGTGATGATGTGGGAACAACGACATCTGCGTACATTACAAGGAATGACAATTGACCAGTATTACCCGTCCAATGAGTATTGGAATTGGTACACATTGTATGCAATGAATTGGTTATGGTTGTCTCCACAAATGGAACAGCCACCACCCCAGCAACAACAAATTTTGGTGGATAAAGAGCTTATGTCCTCACCACTGTCTGAGCATCAACAGGGGATTCCACCACCGTCAGTTCAATCAAATGAGGAGTTTTATTGGTCACCACACACAAACCAATGGCAGCCATTTGAATGGGATGAAGAACCCCCACAACAACAACCTTCAAAAATGTCTGTCGATAGAAGAGATAATCGTCGTGGGTCAACAAGCAATGAATCACGTCGAAGGAGAACAATTGATTGCAGTAGTGAAAGTGGGATATCTCGTGGGTTACTTTCTACATATGACTTTCTCATTGAGGATGTCAGACCTTCTCTTGACATTCCTGCATGCAACTTTGACCTTAATGAGAGCGCAATTGTAGATGAAGGGAATTATGATGATGAAGATGTTTATCGACCAGAACTTGTGACAACATAGTGTGGTGGTACTTCTCAGCAAACATTTTCATTAGGTGAACATTATTATGTGCCAATCATGTCTTGGGAGATGACACAACAGCACAACATATGTATAAATACATCAGAAAATGTGATACAAGCAGAACCTACAGTTGATAAGAGAGTTACACACGATGCCACAAATGATCAAGGTGTTGGGGATGACAGTCCTACAGAAGGAAGACGAAGGGAATTTTTTTCGCGCATGTTACGTCCCTTCACCCATGCTCCTGATAGATATAGCCCCTCATTAATCAAGAAGAAAAAGAGAAAATGATGTTTGTTTAATGTTAATGTTTATGTTTATGTTTATGTTTAATTTATGTTTTCATTATTGTCTTTATGTTTAAGCATGGAATGTTATTTATATTATGCAACTTTGTTTGTCAGTAAAATATTTAATAAAAAAAGCTTTGTTTGTTAGTTAAATATTATATGATTTATCATCTCTTAATGCAGATACTCTTTCAAAATATCACAAATATTGCATATGACCCTTAATACTGATTAAACAATACTACTTCATTTTACATGACGATAACAACTTAATCATCATCAACAACAACAACAACATCAACCTTGCGAACTTGACCCAGGAGCATTTGGACATGTTCTTCTACTATGGCTTTCACCTCGGCAAAGAGTGCAACGTCGGGTTCTTCTCATCTCACGCCTATCCATTTCGTTCAGAAAACGTGTTGATTTTGGACGACCTCTTATTATGCGCTTTAAATTTGGGTTAGGAATAAGTTTTGGGCCTCTATATATCCGCCACGTACTTTCATTTCCAATGACTCCAAACTCCTTCTTATATACTTTGCACAATTCATTTATCTTATAAACATCTTCGACATAACAACGCCAATCAATGTTCTGACTAGAGCAAGCAGCAATGACATGACGACATAGATATCTATCAGTCTGGATGTCACCACAATCACAATACCTTTGCCTGAGTTGGACTTTATATTCTTGATTGTTGTTTACATCTTGAACAAGAAAAGTCTCATTTCGCCTATCAAATACAGTAACACAAAGGTTTCTAGATGCTTGCTCATTTGATTGAAGTCGAGTCGTCATAGCATCAGAAAAAATATGTCTAGCCTTTTTTCGCGCATATGCCTCACAACCTTTACTTGCAAATAACTCAGTCAATTGAAAGTAAGTTGCTCTAACCAATGCTATTATTGGAAGATTACGAGCGTCCTTTAATACTGAATTAATGCACTCAACAAGATTGATGGTCATGTGACCCCATCGATGCCCACCGTCATATGCAAGAACCCACTTCTCTCGTGGAATTTCATTAAGTCAGTCTGTATATACCTCTCCACGTTGTCTCAACCGCTCATAATGAATATTAAATTCTGATTCAGTTCTTGAATAACCTGCATACCACAAACTCATTAATATAAGTATGTCAACAACATATAAAATTTATAATTCAATGTAAATATCATTAATAAAAGAATAATGTCAATTACCCATGCAGACGACAAGTTTATGCAAGTAAGGTGTCTTAAATCTTCGCAAGAAATTAGCAGCAATATGCCTGATACAATACATATGAAATGCCTTTGGAGGTTCTCATTGTCCGTTACTTCGTCTTATTGCTGCATTAATTGACTCGTGCCGATCAGAAATAATACCAATACCATCCTGCGTCACAACATGTTTGCGTAAATTCTCAAGGAAAAAATGTCAACCATCTGCAGTTTCTCCTTCAACAATAGCAAAGCCAATCGGCAAAATATTCTGATTGTCGTCTTGTGCAACAGCTACCAATAAAGCCCTCTTGTATTTTCCATATAAATGTGTCCCATCAACCTGCACAAGTGGTTTGCAATGTCTGAATGCCCGAATGCAAGGAGCAAAATTCCAAAAAATACGACATAATATTTGAACATCATGAACCAACTCATCATTGCGATAAGCTTTAACAGCATCCAATTGAACAATTGACCCACGAACAGCGTCACACATCGCTACAGACCATTGCGGCAGGGCTTCATACGAGGCTTCCCATTCACCATACACTTTTTCAATTGCTTTTTGCTTTGCCATCCATGCTTTTCTATATGTTGTCGTATATCCAAATCGAGCTTGGACTTCATTAATCACAAGTTTGATCTTAAAAGAAAGGTCAGATTCTACCATTGGCTTAATAAATTCTGCAATTGTGTCTGCATCCAACTTGCTATGATCCTGCGAAATCCTAGCCCTCATACAAGTGTGTGGCCCATTATACTTCCTGATTTCCCAAAAACATTTGTTTTTCCTCAAGCTAGCCCGAACAAGCCAATCACAATCTATGCCATAGCTTACACATTTACAGTAAAATGTATTTGGTTCAAACTCAAATACTTTATAGTCCATTCCTTTTGATATACTGTAATGTTTAATTGTTTGTATAATATTTTCTCTGTCATTAAATTGCATTCCAACACACAATTCTCCTACTACCTCAGAATTACCTATCAAACACAAATTTTAATAAAAAAAACTAATTCATTAAATTAAACATAAAATGATAAGGGTATAATTAAAATATTTCAAACATCACATACCTAAGCATATTCTGGAAATTCAGGTACTTGCATACTTGTAAGATCTAACGCACGCATGAATGACGGCTCCTCAAACGGATGTTTGCCAATCATTGAACTTGATAAATAGGAGTCTTCATCAACTCCCTCATCTTCTGATTCCTCATCATCACTATCTTCATCAAAGTCAAGGTCATCACTTTCAGTGCTGTTTTGTTCTCATTCAATCTCTCTGTTGGGAACGATGCTCACATAGGCTTCATCTTCTTCATCGCTACCTTCTGCACGTGTATCAGCTGTAATTTGTTTAAAAATAATATACATCTCAATGGTAGGAGTTGGGGCCCAACGCTCATTATGTATTTGAAACATTTGTTGAATATCTTCATCGGTTGTTATTGCAACTCCTTGGTATTGCATGAAACCTCCAAAAATAGAAATCGGACACCTATACGTTATACTCTACTATTTTTGGAGTCTTCACTTCAATATATTGACAAAGCCAATATTTTAGTGCTTCATATGATATATTATAAGAAATATGCATACAAATTGGCTTCTCACATGTAAATCTCACACATTCACATGTGTTTGTAATAATTTCACCATTAAAGTACACCACTATATTTGTACTCATTTCTTTCTTCAACTATAAAAGAATAGCCAAATTTGACAAATAAAAAAATGCAAACAGCAGAAATGCAATAGAAAAGCTTTAGAGAGTGGAGAGAATAGGGTTACGGTGCAATTTATTACAAATTGCAATGACTATATATAGAATGAGATTTTAAAAAACGCTAGTGACGATTTTACTTCTTAAAAATCGCCATAAACGATTTTTACTTTCAAAAATTTTTGAAAACTCGCCAGTGGCAATTTTTACCATCATATAAAATTACTTTTTCTGACATTCAAAAATCACCACCGACAATTTTTTTTAAATTTCTCATATTTATGTAATTTTTTTTTAAAGTCCATATTATGGTAATTAAGTAAAAAAAATCCCATATAAAAAAAATGACCCGCAAAATCACAAATCTAATGATTTGAAAAATTAAAACGCGTGAGTGACGTAGAAAACAAATATTTTATTAATTACTATAAAATATATACAAGAATCAAGTGGTTGCGGGTGGGGAAGGAATCCAATAAGACAAAAACGAAAATTGACAAGGAAACTTTTATTATCACACCTAACTTCATTTATGATGAATTGGCCATTTGATAGCATCTTTGTTGATTGAAGCAATTGAATATGTAAGTGTTTTAGAATGTTACTTAAAAATGTAAAATTTATTTCCTAAAACATATTTCTTATACTAAAATTAACAATTAAATTTAAATTATAATATAAAATAAAATATATATAGCATTCAATAATATTATTAATTTATTAATAAGATAGTACGAGTGATAAATAATTTGATATAGTTTAAATAAAATTTTAAGTTTAAATTTTTGTATATATAAAAAGAATTATATAATAAATTTATGTATCACATCTGAGGGCATCATTTGAACCAAACACATATTAAACTATTTAAAAAAAATTGTTGATTTATGTTTATTTATCAGTAAATGACAGATTAGACGGATGATACACTGCTTACTTGTTTTCTATTTTTGTGTAAAGAAGAATCGCTTGCCAGAGATTCACCAGAGATATTTTGTCACAGTAAACCACATTATCAGAAGATATTCACTGTTTTCTCAGCTGAAGGTGTGTCCCAACCGATATCAGAATTTTCTACTGTTTATAAACCAGAAGTTTAATTTCTTTATTTTTAATGTGAGAAAAAATTATTATTTTTAAGATCGCAAGGTATTTTAATTTGTCTTTTCGGTAGAACCATTAGTCTACTCAATAATTACGAGAACGTCGATTCTCTTAATTTTATTTAACGAGCATGTATTATTATGGGCTTTTCAATTTTTATTTTTAAAAATGGATGAGTAAAAGTAATTAAACATAAGAGTTAAAAAATGATTTTTTAATGAAAAAAATTAAAAGTGTATTATGAAGAGCTCATAAAACCACGTGCGTCTTCCATCGTAAGAGTCAATTTAGTGGTAGACAAGGGATGTCACCAATTGCTTAGTTAGAGTAGTTTATTTGGGGGCCTCCTTCTATCTCTCTTTTTCTGTGTCTCCATCACACGTCAATGTTTATGTATGTATTTATGGGGGAAACAGAGTTGTACAAGTATTCTGACATCATTATATATCAAATCAATCTTTGAAAATTACATATTAAATTATATTTTAGCTTTCATTTTAATTTTATTTAGCTGTGTCATATTTAAGCTATATGAGATATTTGATTAAAATTAAATTAGTAATATATTGAAATAAAATTCTCAAAACAATGCGAAATTTGAAGGAGACAATGATAGGAAATATGAGCTAATGCTTGGGTTAATGATTTGCTTGAAAAAATAGTTTATTATTTTTATTTGTTTATTTTGTTTACTCTAAAAAAATCAAAGGTCAAAGGATGGTGGGTTAGATGCAACATCCTTGGAGATTAGATTTATTGAGATGTCAAAAATTGATTGGAAGAGAGTACAGAGAATATGATTCGTGGTTTGGAAGTCAAATAATGAAGATAGAAAAAATAGCACGAGTGGCAGTGTCAACGTAATAATGGGAGTGCAAATGAACCCAATATTGTAGGGTCTCCAAAAAGTAGCATAGGAAAATGACACAGGACACAGGACCCAGGAAGCATGCCATTAATTTATTTTGGATTATAGCATTTCAATTTGTAGTTACTCTATAATTTTTAATTTTATTATGCACAATTCTTTGTTTTATTTCAATTTCCGTATTAAAAAATCATTATGTTATTTTTATAATTTCAATCTCAATTATTTTATCATAACATCAACGCTGGAAAGATATAATTAAGACAAATGGTGAACAAACATTTTGTTTAAATGGATAACAAAATATAACTTTTTATTTTTTATAGATAAAATAAATAAATAAATAAATTTTACTAGAATAGTGTTTTTTCCACACAAGATTCCATCCATGGAAAAGTTTTGTGGGTTTTACTGGAATTCAATATAAAAATAAAGCATCCAAACATTAGGAAAGACAATATTTTATCACACAATTTTTCATGTCTCATAATTCTTTTCACCATAAATCAACCAAAACAAACAGAATAAAAAATTATTTTAAAGTATTTTTCCTTTTTAGATTTGTTAAATAATATTATTTAAAGTGGTAGTCCTATCTTTTTATCTTTTTGGTTAACCATTTTCCAACCCTATCTAAATGATTATATATATATCCTAAAAAAATTATCATTAGTGACTTTTGGCCAAAACTGCCAATTATGATTATTAATGTACTTTTTAATTATTTAATTATATTTTTAATTTATCATTGATTACTTTTTTTTATTTTTAATTATATCTCTAAATTTTTGTACTTATACTAAAAATTGTCATTGATAATTTTTAAATTTTTAAATTTTTTAAAAATATTATAGTTTTATATATATAATTTATAAAAACTATATATAAAATCTCTGTCTCACTCTCTCTCTCTCTCTCTCTCTCTCTCTCTCTATATATATATATATATATATATATATATATATATATATATATATATATATATAATCATGCTCTTTTGATTTAGAGTAACTTATGTCTAGCCTATGTATGTGTACTGCTCACGGGTCAAACAAGTGAAAAAAGACAGAACAAATGATTAAAAAGAAACACATCATAGTTAAGTGCAAGCACACATTTTCATGCTATATTGGTTAAGAATAAGTTACTCATATTTGAAATTTATTACATTTCAGTAGTCTTGTTTTTACACACACATTTTTATTTAATAATTTTATATATTTTTGTTGGATTTTCACTTATTTTAAGTTAATAAACTTGATTTGAGCGATTAAAAATAAAAAATATATGATTACATGAATGTCGTGAAAGAAGAAAACTCTGGCGTACGTGAAGATGTTAGGATGAGGTGGCAGGATCAAGAGGAATCAATCAAAACGACAAGACTAATAATGCAAATAAAATAAAACTTGGTAATATTAATTTTTCCATTTCTGCCTATAACATTACTTAATTTATCCATTACTGCCTATAACATTACTTAATTTATCCATTATTTGTATAACTATAAAAAAGAAAAGGCAAAATCGACAAAGAGACATGAAGAGAGAAATTATTATGAATATAGCTGTATAATGTACTGTCTCTATGATTGAACTGAATCAATCCATAAACACTCTGAATACGTGTCTTGTTTTTCTGCAAATGTCCAACATGCTCACCACTCTCTATGCGGCACACCTCTTCCCACGAAACCATTCTTTCCTTCACATATATTCTCTGCCTTTATCACAATATTTCTTTTTTATATTTGTACAACATTGTATCTGATAATGTATACTAACAGTTCTTCTCATCTGGTCGTATTCAGTGTAGCATCGACCACCTCTCATTGATAATGGGACGATGGATCCCTGCCTTTCAAGAGAATTATACGTGGACATGCAAATGCAACACATGCACTCTTTCCCCTATCTATTGCTGCGTGCATGCTTAGATATCCATTGAAACCTTGACAAAAGAAAATCCAATAAAACTGATTAAATCATGTTTTATCATAAATATCAGAATCCATAATGTTGAAATAATTCTAGATTAAAATAAATTTGACGTCAATTCTAACATGTTATAAATTATTCCAAATCCGTTTCGCATTTGATATTATAATTCGATGTCATCTTTTTAACTAAATTGACTCTTCCTTTGATATTTTGTACTATAAATCCTGTAGAGTGTAGATTTTTATGCTTAACCAAATGTACTTCTGTTTATTTCTTAATGATTGGTCGTAACGAAGTAATATTGAAGAGTTCAAGTTTTGTAAGGTTACACAGAGAGCAACTTAATTGCATATATAATGAAGTAATATTATCGAACTCAACGGAAGTAATATGTTGAGTACTTCAAGTATTCTCTGCAAAGTTTTTGGCTTTTCCAAAATAAAAAATAAAGTAAAAAGACCTTACTTATATGTATCATGTAACAATGATACTAATTAAATAATTTTTTTTCTCAAAAGATAAAGTATTTTTTGTTCTAAATTGTAAAACAATGTATTTTTCATTAATTTCAATCTTAATCATGCGTGTGATTGTCAATGGGATTTATAAGATTACCTATGTTTTGAACTTCCAAGGAGCTTGATGTTGGAAATGGCTTTGCATGTTTTATGACATCACAGAAAGTGTTGATATTCGAATATTCGTTGCTTTGATGTGTACTCATGCACTTCTAATTTACAGAGTCACGTCTAGCCTAAATCTGTTGCTCTTTCAAAAAAAAGTGAACAAGGAGAGGACAAATGATGAACAAGGAGCATTATTTTTTAAATTCAGGTTTTTGGAAGGAAAAAATAGTAAAGTAATAGTTCTATTTAGTAATAAGTTGGTTCTATCTAACTGTCATATTGGGGAAAGTAAAATAATTATATTAGTTGGAACGAGATAAAATAAATTTTATAACAGGCTATTCTATTTTGAACAATCTTTATTTTATATTTGTAAAGACTTTGACCCAAAAAGAGAGATTGGTACGGCAATTTTCCTCTAAAATTGGGCCCAGAGTCTTATTTTGGGCTTATGTATTATCACAGTAGTGATTGTTATTTTCATCACACTTTCTTTCTTTTTGTTATTCAAACATTGCTCTCAAAATTTAATTTTTAAAATTAATTTATTCTATAATTTAGTTTATAAAAGACATTAAACACACTTTTAAAAAAAAATTTAAAAGTGGTGTAAAAAGTAAGCTAGCTAAGATAGATTTTGATTTACTTTTGTTATAATACTTCGACTTAGAGAACCAAAAAGTATGTTTTTCCTCTCGTCCATATGCGTGTTAAATCATGGATGAAGCAACTTCGTTCAAAAGGAAATAAAAAAGACTAGAACAAATATAAACATATATTTCATGTTGTTACATTTACTTTAGGGTGCATATAGTAAGCTTCACTCAAATCAAGTCTATTTTATAAAATATGCTCGTCTTAACTTGTCTCTGTCACCCTTCATATTCTTTATTAACGTTTTATTGAACTAATAAAAACATTAATTTAAAGTTCAATAATTTGATCGTGGTTAAACCGAGATAGACCAACGATAATTAAATATTATTTAGTAAATTAGATAAGAAACTTGTCTATTTTAAAAAATTAACTATTAAATTAATATAAAATAATCATATCACATGTTTTACAAGACATTCAATTCATAATAAACAATTAAATAATAAAAATTTATATATGCATCTAATATATTAGTTTTATTTATTTTAAAAACGTTTAATATTAAAAATTTACTTTTTAAAACACTTTTTCCTCAGAGTAGTTCTAACCAGTTTATTAGTATTAGTTCATAGTTATGTAGTAAACTGTTACGTGGAATGAAATGAACCCATTTTCTATGGAGAAAAATACGCTCCATTTTACCCAAAGCACACAACATACCAATCCCGTTCCAATCCACAATTGGAATATTAGAATCTTTAGTTATTTTATACATAAATTAACATCAGGCACTTTCACACGAAATTAAAATCCAACGTAAATTTTCAAAGACGAGCACCAGTTAACCGGGAAAAAAAACGATCACAAAAGCTTCCATTGGAAAATCGCTTTATATCCCTGCTCCAAGGAATTCATTTTTCATTTAATAATTGTGGGAAAAGCAAGATTAAACATCAAACGGAAGTTTCAATTTAAATTCATGACGTTTTTCATAACAACTAAATCAGAGACCATTCATCTAATACAAACCCAGCAGAACATTAGACGATCAAAATTCAATTGATTCGCCAGACGTGATAACAAAAAGGAACAAATAACACGTAAAAAGAGCATTTGGGTGAATTGGGAATACTGTCTATATAGCCTCCAGAGCCTGTAGGACATCAGCCTTTAAATCCTCAAAATCTTCAACTCCAAAGCTGAAGCGAACCAAGTTGTCATGAATCTTATACTTAGCCCTTTCTGACTGAGGAAGATCCCTGTGCAGAATACACGAAGATTAAATAAACAACTGCTACAATCAAGCCTTACATTTAATATAAACACAAAATGTAAATTTGACACTAAAGCACGAAGGACCAATTAAAGATGCCTTCACTACAGGGTCATGTTCAAGTAGAGGACCAATGCCCCTGTAGTGTCAAGACATCTGCAACATGGAATCTAAATTGAGTACCAGTAAGACAAAATAGCAGGTTGATCCACGATGCTCTCACAGCCACCGAACGAGGCCGCAATATATGGGATTTTCAGTGAATCAATAAATTTTATTGTGGTATGTAGATCTCCATCAATCTGCATTATTGGCAGTCCAACTATCAAAATTAAGCAAAAAATAGTAGCAAATACAAGATTTTAAAAAACGAAAATAATGGGTGCTAGAAACTACATATTTGAATAACAGTCCCCACCTCAAAACTGACAACGCCACCGAAACCAGTCATCTGCCTCTTGGCAAGTTCATGTTCAGGATGACTTGGCAAGCCTGGATAGTAAACACGTTTCACCTGCCGACAAAATTATGTCATTAAAGCCAGTTCACATCGGATGCAGAATTCAATACATTTTGTCATTTCAAACCTTTCATATGAAAATACAACAACAGTAACCAAGTTTTATCTCACCTATAAACCCTTCGTATGAAAATAAATTTGAAAAAATGATAAAATGATACAAAAAATTGCATATGATATGACAGAAAAGAGAAGACAAACAACTGATTTGACAATTAAAAGAAAGGGACACAGAAAGATAAATCATCATTTAAAGAGGAATTATGGCACAGAAAAGCTTAGGCATTCATCTCAAAGGTTGCTATAAAGAAGGTTACAATAATAATACTTATTATCTTATTGTCATTATATAAGATCACAGCAATCAAGAAGGAATTCACATTCACAACACCAAAAATTCAAAAGAAACATGCATCTGATCACTGGGCGAAACTTAGTACTTCTACTATCATTTTTTCATCATGTCAGTACCACACATGCAAGATCCAATTACACACCAACAAAAATATGCCATTGATGAAGAACAGAAAAGCCTACTAAAAATATAACATCAACCATACATTTCAATTTTTTTTAACATAAAAGCACAATTCAACCATACTTATACATGAGCTTATTCAACAATTTTACAAATTTCAACCCACAAATAATAGTAATAGTAATATAAATACCATGAAGAGGAGGAAAGACATTATGCATATTAATGTCATGGTACCTTGGGATGTGCCTCTAAAATTTTGGCCATCCTCATTGCTGTTGAATTCTGCTGCTGTACACGTAGATGCAGCGTTTTCATGCCTCTGATGAATAGGTATGCAGCATTCTGTGAACACATTAGTACTATGTCAAGGGTAATAATCATTTATGATATCCTTCCATGGAAAACACTTGAGACAATATGTTCAGTCACAGAGTCAGCTCTGTAGAAATGACTTACCGGGTTAAGAGTACCACCCAAAATATGATGCAAATTCCGAATTTGTGAAACCAACGGAGTTGAACCACTTATGCAGCCACCAAGGACCTGAAAAGAGGAAAAACATTCCTTGATGCTTAATATTGTTTCTATAAAATTATAATTTTGAAAAACAGGCTGACTTACATCGTGATGTCCACCCATGTATTTTGTTAACGAATGAAGAGTCAGATCAGCACCAAGGGCAAGGGCCTTCTGGTTCAAAGGTGTTGCAAATGTACCATCAATGCAGAGCAAAGTCCCTTTCCTGCGGCAAATCTCTGAAACCAGCTTAATGTCAACACATCTGAGGAAAGGATTGGTAGGAGACTCGGTGAAGAACAGAGACACCTGCACATTGGTATAATAGCATATGAACTCTAGACCATCTATTAATTCCAAATAAATCAGAGAAATCTATATAAGGAAACCAGCTACTCTCTCCAACACTAACATTGTGCTGCTCTAATGCAGATTCCAAAGCTCCAACATCTGCTGGATCAATTACAGTGGCCTGCACATCAAAGTGAAAATTATTACATATCTACAAGAAATGCATAATGATTATAGTTGTAAGTTGCCAGGACAAAAAGGAAAAAAAATACCAAAAAGAAATCCTTTGGAAACATAAAAAGTCACCTTACCCAGTTAACCGACAGTAAGGTTTACCCTTAAGATATCTATTTCAAATCTTCAGTTAAAACCCCAGTAAATTTTCAGTAAGATGTTTATATTAGTTCCTCTATAAATAATTAAATTTCAAAAAGCAGAGCTTTTGTTGCTCTTTGGGGGGGAAAACTCTAGGAAAGACAAGTCTGATTAAGTTTGAACAACATGAAAGGAAATGAGCATTCTTTCAATCCAACCAATTAAACAACTCTTTAAACTATCTTAAGAAACAAGATAACAGAAGAAGTTTCCAACCCCAAACAATAAAATAAAATTAAAGCACCAAATGAGTGGAACATATACCGTGATCCCCATCTTTGGAAGCACAGTCTCTATGAATATTCTAGTCTTCCTGTAACAATCTGTAGTGGTCACAAGATGTCCTCCAGCTGGAATCAGTGCCATCATCAGGACTATGCTAGCACACATCCCAGATGCCATTATCACAGTTGATTCAGCCCCCTCCAGTGTACTGGTTCATAATGACAATAAAGGTCATCAAATGATCACAACACTTAAAACATTACAAGATCATAATGAAACTAAACACAAACCTTATCTTCTCCTCCAAAACCACCGTTGTTGGGTTTCCATAGCGCCCGTATTCATAACTAACCTGACGATTCTCCTGCAAATGACGGAAAATTTGTTTTAACACCATTGATTGACATTTATTGGTCATTCCCACACATGACTATTTGATGCAGCGGATAAAATTTTCACACTCAAAAGAGTAGTACCTTGAAGTCTATGAGATCAGCAGTTTTCTTAAAAAAGTAAGCAGAAGTGTTCACCACAGGGGTGGTAATTGCATCAGTTACAATACCCCTACCTAGTCGTTCAGCTGCATTGCCCAAATGCAAAACAAATCAGCTTAGCAAACAACATAACCCTTAAATATAACATCCAAGCAAATTAAAGCTAATCTAACCAAAAAATAAAAAACCATACAAAAACTAACCACAAAAAGCCAATATTGTAAGACATAAGATGAACAAGTACATATAAAGAAATTTTCGAAGGCTAAATGACGTTTGATTAACTTTATTTGGTTTTAAATTATGTAACAAAAAAAAAAAAAAAATCGAAGCAAACCAAATCAATTTAATCAATCGTCACATAAAAAAAAATCTCTGAAAGCAAAAAGTAAACAAGTTTGTATAATGCGAACCAAAAGGAAATGAAAATCTTTGTGTCAGACAAACCACAGACAAATTAATGAAAGATCTAACAAACTTAAATTTTGAAAAAACATAAACGCAAAATCTTTCGTTAACAAAATTATCCGAGAAAACCATACCCAATTTAATTATTAAAAAAATATATAAACTAATGGAAAGAAAAAAAACGAATCTCGGAGAGTGAAAATTAAATGACAATTTCACATACCGGCATGAATCGTTTTGCTTGCATCGGATTTCAAAAAGGAAGAATAAGAACTATGCTTTAACTGTACACCCCCGTTCTCGTCGGCGGAAACAACGAGGTCCTCATCAGCGGCGAGGTCGACGGGGAGGGGCTCCGTGGCGGCGTCGACGGCAGAAGCCGCGGCCGGCAGTGGAGCCCCGGCAGCGGGGGTGTTGGAATTGTTGTTGGACCACGAAGCGGCAACGATTTGCGCGACGCCGATGTTGCTGCAGTTGCGGCGAGCCTTGGTGCTGAGCTGGCGCTGGAAGTTGGGAGGGAAGCGAAGGATGAGCGAAGAGAGGCCATGGTAGGAACCACCGGATCCGGCGGCGGAACGGAAATGGCGGCGGCGGAGGTTGTCGGAGGTTGGCGGTGGCGAGAAATCGGGATCGGAACGGCACTCGAAGGTGAAAAGCATGTGAGAGCTCGAAACGGCCATGTCTGTTGTCGTTTAACAAGTGGGTTAGGTTTCTTCTCTTTCTTTCACCTACCTCCCTCTTTTCCTACCAAATGAATGGCTTCGTTCCAATCACTCTTTTCTTCACCCCCTTATAAACACTCCATACGCGTCACTTCTTTATTTTATTATTATATTATCACCCAACATAAAAAAAAATAAAAAATAATCTTTTTAATACATTGATTAAAATTTATAAAATTATAAAAAAATGTTAAAATTAAGAGTAAAGTATACATAATTTTTAACAACTTTTAATTAATAATAAAAATATATATTTAAAAGAGTTTTCATAATACTATAGAAGGTTGTTGGCAACAACTGGCAAGTTCATTTCTTCAATAATATAAATATAACATTAAAATTAAAATATTATTTTAATAAGCTATTTTTTAATTTTAATTTTATATTATTTTTATATTCTACCTCATTGCTACTCGCCAGAGTAAAGTGCTACTACACTGATGGGGTTGTTGTATCAATAATCAAGTTCCTTTTGCTCTGGTTTTTGGGGAGGGGAAGGGGCGGCGCAGGTATTTATAATTTATTTGTAATTCATTGAATAGAATGAATATTATTGTGGAAAACAGTGACGATAGATTTTGAAATTATTCAGGTTAGAATGGTTAACGTGGTGCCCATTTATTGGCCCCTTAATCATATCATGTTACAAATTCTCTTTGAGTAAATATCTAATTGAGAAGTGTGGAAAATGTCAACAACCTCGATTATTAAAGATGCGTGTAAAATATCTTGAGTTTTTGTGTGTCCCCACTTTTCTAGGATCATATGAAATTGACGAGGAACGAGTTAGGATTTGAATGATGCTTGTGTTGGAATTGTTTTGGTTTAAAATGCCGTATTTGTATTCTATTGTTTAGTTCATACAGCGACGAATTGTTATTTTTAACCCTAACAGTTTAATGCAACTTAATTATGATAATACTCTCATACCAACTCTATTTTGGCACGTTAGTTAGGCAGATCCAAGAAAACAGAAAGGAAGATTAGTAAGGGTTTAATTGAATTAACAAGCAGTAAAAGAGACTAAGGGATGTTAATTAAATTGTTTAATAAAGGAGTTTGGATGTTAATTTAGTTAATAAAGTACTTTGCTTCTCGCTCTCTCAATCCTCAGTTTTAGTCGGTAATTAGTGCGATGAGTAGGTTTTTCTTTTTTCAAATTTTAATGTGATTAATTAAGATATTATTTAGAGACTAAATATTAATATCTATACAATATGTAATTAAGCATTATATATCTTGAACGTTAGAAATTTTGACTTTTAAATTTCTTTACTTTTATTTTCAAAATATCATTTAAAGTACAATTTATAAGTTAAATTATGTAAAAGTTCCAATGTATTAATGTTTAGCTACCATAAATAATTAGAAGTATAAATAGATACTTTGTTGAGATAGATGAAATTGGCTTTACTAATATCAACATCTTAAAAAGATTAGTTGCTGACAGACAATTAAAGATGTCCTTAATATACAAAAAATCATATAACTAAGATGATCCTATGCATAACAAATGAGATAACCTGCATATTCTTCTAGTCTATTTTATAACACCCTTTTATAGTTTTTTTTTTATCATTAAATTTCTTTACAAAGTTGAATAAGACTTATTCAAAGTGTGTTTTTCTGTAAAATAAAATAAAATGTAAAATTATCTATCATTCATTTATCTTATAATACATAATGATATTAACCCATAAAGATTCAAGTGTGAAATATATTTTACTTGCTTACTTTATAAATATAGTAACTTTGAAGAAGTTTTTCTTGTAATTTTTTAAAAATGATTATTATTTTTGTATATGTATCCTTTATAAATATTGATTTTTTAACTTTTAACTAATTAATATGAAAATAAAAATAATTTAAATAAAAAACATAAAGTTTCATAGTTAATTTTTTTAAAAACTCAATGCATCAATTAATTTTAAATAATTTATATATATATATATATATATATATATGTGTGTGTGTGTGTGTCATTTAACAAATTTTCCAAACTTAAAAATATTTGTTTTAACATGTTGAATATAAAATAAACATTTAATTAAATTATTTATCTGAATTCCTCTTAAATATGATGTGAGCTAATTTTGATAATTTTTTAAAGCAAAAATAAATAAAATCTTTTATATAAGTCATGGTTAATTTATACACCTTAATAGTTTCATAACCCTCTCATTTATTTTTCTTTTATAAATATCTATAAACTTAACAAAAGTCCATATTCTTTTCTTAAAAAGATCTTACTAACACAATTTTATAATTGAAAAGATTTCGTAAAATAGAAGTTAATCCAAATTGATTGTGTATATGTTGACTCTACACATAAAAGAGTTAGCCCTTTTTTCATATTGAAGTTTGTAGGACTAATTTAATATATAATTATCACTTTAAAATAATATGCTTTTGGGAGAACAACTTGTCATATAAAGAAATCTGAAAAGCATGGTTCTGTTTTTAAGTTGAATGTATAATAGCATTATAACTAGCAAGTACTTTACATACCATCTCAATTATTTTTAATTTACATAAAATTTTTAAAAATATATCCAAGAAAGTATATTAGGTTATCATTTTTGACTTTTTGATAGACCATATCAAATTAATAGACTTGGAAATAACATGTGTTGATGATTTAAATAAATTTTTTTTAATAATTGCTTTTTTCCTGGACCAAAGACTACAGTATGTCTCTAGGTGTTATATAATAGTTTATTCTCTTATTATTCTTTATTTTTTTCCTTATATTATTATTGAAAAGAATATTTATTGATGATGAAAAAAGTGCATTTAGTTAGCAAAAGCAATAAAAAATATAGTGATGATAGTTTTGACCTCATTTACTAATAATGATTAAGAGGACCACCATGACAGTGTTTATGGACTCAGCATGCACCATACCACTCATAACTCATTAAAGCAAGACAAACTTGATACGGAGGATATCCTTGTGTGTGGCTCAGCCTAATTGTAAGTTTAGGGGACCAATATGATTCAGCTTAAAAACAACAAAGCATTAGGGGACCATCTTTGAAGATCAATTATGACATTTTACCCTCCCCATTCTTTTTTCTCTCTGCTTGAAAGATACCATGACATTTTAAATAATAAAAAGAAGTTAAAATTAATTTATACATTTATATTTTAAAAATTAATTTAAAAATCAAAATAAAAAAGTATAAACTCATTTTATTAATGTATTTAATTTGTTGTTGATTTAGCCTCTCAAAATGTAATTTTTACAATTTAATTCCATTTGAATTGTTTTTGTAGACTAAATGTTAACATGTATAGACTAATTAGAATAATATTATTTTAATAATGTATTCTTGCAAAACATTTCATAACAATAATAATAAAAAAAGAAAGGTATAAAATAACTTATCATGTATTAAAATAAAATAAAAGTGACGTAGGTGACAAGTGAATAAAAGGATTGTCTCTAGTGTTTCATTTTCAAGAGGTTGTTTAGTTGGGGGTTGATTGTTAGTGTTTCTTGGCAATAATTGGAGGCAACAAATGGGGTCAGAGCATGGAGAATGATGCAAGCCACAGAAGATAGAACAGTTGAAAATAAATAAATAAAAAAACCTACAAGATAGAACAAAGGAGGAAGCATGAGAGAAATATATAATTTAATCTGTATTTAATTTAGCGTTAAATCTAATTAAATATAAATGTAATTAGATTTTTTTAAAGTTCTGATTGTTTAAATGCTTAACAAAAACTTACAAGATTTTCAAAGTGTTTGTTTTAAATAATAAAAAATTGAAAAATAGCTCAAACATGGTGCATTATAGGGCCGGAGCTAATGTAGTATATATAATGAACCCACAACACTGAATCGAGTAATTGGAAAAAGATAATGATTCAAAGTAGACCAAAGTGGACTTTTGTTTTTGTTTTTGTTTTTTTTTTTTTCTTTCATCGTATTTTAGGTACCCCATGTGGTGCGTCAAGCCCCTCATTGCTGACCAACTTTGTCAGATTAAAAAAACACTCTTTGCATGAAAATTTTTGTGCTCTGAACCTAACACAATTTACTGTGAGTAATTGACAAAAAGAAAAGGACCTAAACCTAATGCAATGGCTTGATGTGAGTGAGTTATATGTGAGTGGTCAATGTACACTTTCTAATTATGCACCATTCAATATTATGAACCATTTTGGGTCACGGGTCAAGTGCAACTTGGACATTTTGTCAGAATTATAATTATTCATATTCTAGATACTGACGGGGTGCAGTAGCATAATTAATAATATATGCTTACAGTCTAAGTGATACGAATGTTCATCGGTTAGGAAAATGTTTTCTAAATTTAATTAACAAACTAATCTTTTCATAATTCCATTCATAAAACATTACGTTTCATTAATATAATTACTGTACTGAATAAGACAATAGTCGATCTTATCTACAGAAAAAAAGAAACTGAATACTCCCTCGATCAGGTCAAGTCGAGTACCCTTTCAGGTAGCATTAAAAGTAATTAACTCAATTAAAGATAACAACTAAATCATTAATCCTCTCTAATTAAAGGGTCAAAACTAGATTGTTTCGGGGAGGAGGGCGAGGCTTGGTTACCTCTGGGACATTGTCGAGTCAGGGATGGTGATGCTCTTCAGCCGGCACGTCACCTGGAGTTCGCCTTCTTAAACCATGACGATAGTTTGGCATGTTTAGCCCCTTTTGAGTCATTAAACCTACAACAAAAATAAAGAGTCAAATCAATACAACTTAATTAAAAAAAAAAACTGAAGTTATAAAAATGAACCATACCATCCATATCCAGACGTGGATGGGGGGACTTCTGTAAGAGGATAAGGGCTCAGGCAAAAAGCTCTTGGAGAAGAGACTTCAAGTATTCCAGGGTCGGCACCTCTTCAGTCGACAATAGGTCCTCGGGTAAAACATCATACCAATGAGGTACCTGAGTCCAGTGGAAAGGGAAAAGTGTATTGCCTTCACTATCAAAAAAAATAATTTCTACCTACAGGGTCCATGGTTACTTTAAAGTAACCGGTCTTGGAACCCTTGAAAGATGAAGAATAAGGCTTGAATAATGGCAATTCAGGTTGCCTTATTAAGGATACCTTCCTAGCTAAATCTGAAAGACGAGTACAAAAGAAGTGAAGAAATAAACCTACACTAGGTTCTATATAATGAAATTTACATAAGATTTTAAAGGCTTGTATAGTCGCCCACCCATTCGAATGGAGTTGTGTCGGCGCTACATTTAAAACCCTCAGTACTCCCATTTGAAAGTCGTCAAAGGGTAGCCTTATACCTAA